AGCCCATCCTCAACAACTAAAAAGCTCCCCTCTGTTTTCCTTTACCAGGTAAAAATTGGTTTGGCCCTAGGAGTAGGTTGAGTGGGAGATGGAAAGGAGGAGAAGGGAATGGAAGGAAAGAGAAAGGGAGGGGGGAAAGGGAAGGGGAGAGAAGGGAAAGGGAGTCTGACTGCTTTGGCTCGAGTTTTTGTTTTACTCCCATAGTTGTGGAGGTGAATGTACCAGGAAGTAGAAGGCAGAAAACCTGGTGCCCAAAGGCACTAGATTCTGAAGTCCTAGGGTTCTTACCTATTTTGTGCATGGAACCCAGAACAATCCAATGAAGGTTTTTATTAGAAAAAAAAGTTTTATTTTCCCTTGCCAAATTTTCGATATTTTATTTTGAAATAATTTAGAACTTGTGGAAAAATTCAAAGAGTAGTACATTCCAGATTTCCTAAATATTAACATTGAACCACATCTCTATTCTCATTCTCTCTTTATATACATACATGTGTGTGTGTGGTTAATGTGTTTATTTACTTATACACATATTATTATTTTCTGAACTGCTTGAGTATAAGTTGAAGATACAGTACTACTTAACTTTTTTTTAATGTTTTAATTTATCTTTATTGTTGAAAGTATTACATAATCTTTAAATATTTCAATGTCTATTTCTTTACAATGTATATTTCTTAATTTCCAATTAGTTATTAAAATTGAGAAACTAATATTAATGCTATATTATTTATCAGATCTATAGATCTCACTCAAATTTCACTAATTGACCTAATAATTTTTTCTGGCAAAAGGAAAAAATGAATTTCTGGTCCAGGATCACGTGTTGTATTGGGTGATCACATCTCTTTAGTCCCCATTTATCTGGAACAGTCCTCAGTCTTTCCTTTCCTTCATGACTTTGACATTTTTGAAGAGTACAGACCATATATTGAATAGAATTGAAAGATGTGTCCAAAGCACAATTAGCTGCCGGGTATGCGCAGAAGTGTTCTGTGTCTTTCCCAGTGTGGCATCTGGAACAGTCCTAAGTCTTTCTTTTAAAAACGATAATAATAATACAAAGTTTGTTAATAGAGAGTAGAATAAAGGAAGTGAAATGGAAACCATGCTCTTGAGAAGTTGCCTTGTTAAGACATGGTGGTTTCACAGAGTACTTTTTGAGCTCTTGCATGATAGTCATGGTGGCAGTGGTTTCTCAAACTTCCCTGCGAGCTGCAGCTTCTCCATGCTCCAGGGCTTCAGGCTGGCATCATTAGTAACTGTGCCTGATCTCTCAGCTTCATCTTCCCAGGCCTTCACTCCCGCAAGCACTACAATCACATAAACCCTAGTTCCTATATTACACTCCTTATTTCCATAATTCTTATAGTGACTCGTTTTATAATCAAACTCAGACCGATGCAGCTTTATTCCTCAGCCTTTCTTTTCCTTCATGACTTTGAGGTTATTGAAGAGTATGCCATGCCAGGAGGCACGTGACCTTAGTTTGTCCCATGACCAGTAGTATTAATTTTTATTACATAGGTAGACATTTTAAGAAAATTTTATATTTATAAATTCAACTAGTGTAGTGTTTTGCTTAAGTCTAATCTTGGTTAATAATTATCAAAATAAGTAAATACAGTATTGAATGTATTCCTTAAATGGAATCTGTAGGCTTCATTGCAATTCAAATCCCATGGAAATTATTTGAAAAAGGCAAATGCTCATGGGGTTTAATGTGTTCTAGAGCAGAGAGTGGAGACTTTCTGTGTTATGTTTTGCCAGAGACAAGCAAAGGGGAGCACCAGTAAAATAATGGCTTATCTTTGTGAAGCCTTCGACACCTTACTTTTACATGTAAGTTGGTTCAGGTGGTTGTCTGTTGGATTTCTCCACTGTGAAATTACTATCTCTCTTTTTTTAAATTAGTATGCATCTTATGGGGAGAGTCTTTGGGATTCTATATTTATTATTTCTCATCAGAGTTATACCCACTAGTTTTAGTTGATCGGCCTGAAAAAATTGATTCTATATCAGTTGCCAAATGGTGGTTTTCTAATTCCATCATTCCTTGTTACATTTATTAGTTGAATATTAGCCCTTCTATAAAATGAGGCAAATAATGTGCCCTGTCTAGCTCACGAGGTTGCTGAGAGGGTCAAGTGAGACTTAGAGGTAAAAGTGCAGTGTTGAAGTATTCATGAAGGTAAGCCATTGTTTTACTGTTACTCCCTTAATGCTTTTCTTTGGCAAAACATGACAACACAGAAAGTCTCCACTCTCTGCTCTAGAACACATTAAACCCCATGAGCATTTGCCTTTTTCAAATAATTTCCATGGGATTTGAATTGCAATGGAGCCTACAGATTCCATTCAGGGAATACATTCAATACTATATTTAGTTACTCAATAATCATTTATCAAGGCCAGACTTAAGCAAAACACTACACTAGTTGAATTTATAAATTTAAAATGTCTACATCTGTAATTTTGTAAAAGTTAGTTACATCCCAACCCCAAATTATACATTTTTAATGTATTTATATATTTGAGAAGGGGATATTCTGCTACATCAGCATTGATTTGTAACAATCAATAACTTTTACACAGGAATTATTTGGGGAAAAGACAGCAAATTATTAAGCCAGGATAGTCGAACAACTTAACTACTTTAGAAATAATCACAGCCATACCACAAGAATCAGCTACTTTGCCCAAACCTACCATATTTTAACATTTACCTCTGACTAATTTTTATCAATTGATAATTATTTTACCCTTTCTTTCTTTAGCTATAGATCTTTTGTCAGGAAAAAAATGAAAGCAGAACCTAAAATTTCCTTGAGAAGTGAAGAAGATATATTACATTGAGTTATTTCTTATCTGAAATTATTGGTTCCTTATAAAGCAGTAGAAATAAAATTATGTGTATGTGTGCACATGAGTGTGTGTGTATGTTTAATTTTATCTGTGTGTGTTTATGTCCTTTATTAGGGGGGAAATATTTACATACAAAGAAAAAAACTAGAAAAAAAATACTAAAATACTGAGAGTCAAATGTGATAATCATTACTTTCTTTGTAATTTTTTTCTGTAGTTGCTAAATATTTTACCATGAGCATAAGTCACTTTTACAAGCAGGAAAAAAAATGAACAATTTTTAAAAATGATTCGAAGGAAAAGCCAGAAAATAATTTTATATATGTGTGTATATATATGTATGTATATATGAAGCCCAAATAAAGTTTATAAAATTTCTTGGCCTTGCAAGTACTTTTTGAACAGTGTCTGAACAGCCACGATTCCAGGAGCATCCATGAGACCTGAACTTTAACCCAGGGCCTATCTATCCGTTGTCCTCTATGACGCACTCAAGGCCTCTCTTGATTCTAAGGGTGCATCCAGATCAAGGGTAAAGATATGTGGACCTAGGGCAGACTGAGGAAACTTCCTGAGGCCCCATGGCGGAAGGAAATAAGGTCTTTCTCACATGGGATGTCCTCTGTGACCCCTTCCTTGCACAGGCAGAGAAAGCCAGCACAGGCCCAGGGCTGCTCCTGCTTGGGGTGGGACCTGCTAATCCCCTCCCCTGGCCGCCCGATAGCTGTGAGCTGGGAGGCCTGGGCTGCCTGGACGCTCAGACCTGAGGCAGGCAGGCAGAGCCCTGCAGTTCTTACTCACTTCCTCCTGCCGGACGGCTTGCTCCTCCCTGGCCGTCAGCACCTACAGTAAAGGTAACAGTGTTGCCCAGTCCAGTTTGGCTCAGTGGTTAGAGCTCTGACAGAGGACTGAAGGGTCCCAGTTCGATTCCAGCCAAGGGCACCTACCTCAGTTGCAGGCTCGATCCCTGGCCCCAGTCGGGGCATGTGAGGAAGGCAACCAATCGATGTGCCTCTCTCACACTGAGGTTTCTCTCTCTCTCTCATCCTTCCACTCTCTCTGAAAAGCAATGGAAAAAATATCCTCAGATGAGAATTAAAATAATAGTAATTTTTGAACAAGTAATAGTGTTGGCTATCTCTGTAAATAACAGACATATTATATATGGAATTTCATATCCTAAGATAGTCTGAACTCTTTCCCTGTGATACTTCTGATATTGTACTTCCAAATTAATATTATACTTGTTCTTAATGATATAAGTGCCTGATTCATCCACAACTATTATGTTATAGCCAAACCCTATACAATAATTAGTGGAACTTTCATACACATTTAAATGGTCAAGGCTATAAAATTCATATAGTAGAGTTTTTTTAACATTTCTTTTTAACCCCAAAATAACTGTAAAAGTTCTAAATTGCTGCAGCAAGTGTTCATGAAATAATAAAATTTTCTTAAAGTTTTTTAAGTGATTTATGCTAAGGGGAAATGTAGGTGCAGGCTTCTCTCTGCCTGTTTGATTTTAGGCCCAAGGTTGTCTCCAATCCTGACAAAATTAGTTTTCCAGGTCATTCTCCTGCATCTATTGTCAAAGCCTCACAATTTTAAAGTATGAATTTGCTCTACTTTGTCCTGTGTACATGTGATTTTTTTTTTACTCACAAGAAGCTGGAATCCAGAGGGGACAGAATCTGAGGCTTATTGGTTCTGGTTTGAGATTCTGTGCCTTGGCCGTCACCTCTCTCTCAGTCCCTTCCCATTCACAGCACCCTGTCAGTGAACTCATCCGTGGCCTCTCCCTTTCATGCTCTCTGCATTGAGTTGTAACAGCCTCAGAGTTGGCTCTCTCTCTTCTCTCTCTTCCATTTACTTTTTCTATTACTTGGTTAGTTTTTGCATTACTTTAGAGAAGGGGTTTAGCACTTACATGGCCATCTTCCCAATCAAATAAGTTATTTTTTAAACTATCTGTTTATCTACTCAAATGCATTAAAATATCTCAAGTTCATCGATCCTGGGTAATAATGCTTTGATGGTTCTAATTTGAATTTTCTTTTTAATTTTGCACACTCAGGACAACATCTCATTTTATTGCTCAAGAAAGAAGTGACCTGGTCGTAGACAGGAAAACAATGCTTCTCTGGGTGTTAGCCCTCCTAATTCTTTGTGGTTTTCTATGGAACTATAAAAGACAACTAAAGATCACAGACATCACTGAGAAGTATATTTTCATTACTGGATGTGACTCGGGCTTTGGAAACTTGGCAGCCAGAACTTTCGATAAAAAGGGATTTCGTGTGATTGCTGCCTGCCTGACTGAACGGGGATCAGCAGCGTTAAAGGCGGAGGCCTCAGACAGGCTTCACACTGTGCTTTTGGATGTGACTGACCCAGAGAATGTCCAGAGGACAGCCCAGTGGGTGAAACACCAAGTCGGGGAAAAAGGTAAACGGCGTGGGGCTCGGGAGAGCAGAAGGGGTGTTGGGAAGTAACTAAAGCTAAGCAAAATGCGTTTGGGTATTAAATGGCCTTTCAAGGATGTGTCTCTTAAATATCAGCTCTACATTGGAGAAGTCTGGAGAAATCTTAGGATAGCCGCAGAGTAGCTCCTGGTTGCAAGCCCTCCGTGTGCATGAGAGACACAGCCCAAGTTGTCTTCAGCTTAAGTCTCAGGAGGTGAATTTAGAACTGGGATGGAGGTTTGACTTTTCCTGGCCTTCTTCATGAAGTGCCGCTCTAGCCACATGCACAGCCAGGGAACTTGGGGCTAAGATCTACAGGAGAATATGGGCACAATCCCCAAATTGCCATCTGGATATCCAAGACCTGCTTCTCACTACAAATGACTCCAGAGCTTATACATTTTCAATGGCAAAGGTAGAAAATGGCCTGAGAATTTGCCTATAGGTGTCTCAGATAGTCGGGGGAGAGTGGTGAGCCATTGGAACTCATTCTGCGTTAAATTTTGTGAAGATGGCAGCATTCTGAACTAGAAGACTTTCATTGGCTTGAATGAAGTCTGAAAAATATTCTCATGCATGAATATATCTAATGGGTCCACAAATTTTAAAAAAAAAGATGTTTTACCCTATCACATCTTCCTCATAAAGTTGAGAGTCTGATCCTCAAAACCAATGGCTTGATAAGGCTCCAGATAATTTTTAAAGCTTGAATTCCAAACACCTTTGCACATATTAAGTGTTTCCCAACATTAATAAGCCAAGTGAATGATGGAATTTTTTTTACCAAAAAAAAATGTGAAATAGGTTGATGTTGCTCTTTGTCCGTATAGAACAGTTCATCAATATTCTCTAGACTTGCCACCTATCAAGGTAACAAAAATAGAGCAATTTACTCTACACCTGAGATTAAAAAGCATAAAGTCTCACTGAGTATCAGCATTTGACATTCAGAACCAGAAAATAGAATAACTGTGATATTGGCTTCCAGTAACAGAACAACTATTTCAATTTAGCCTCCCACTCTTTCTGCTATCACTTCCCAAAACTGCAGAGTCTTTCAAAGTAGGAGTCTGACTAGAGGAGGAAATGGCACCATTGTGAAAAGCAGAAGTTGTTTTTCCATTAAGGGGATTTCTACCACATCTCCTTTCCTTCCTCTCTGTTCTAGGTCTCTGGGGTCTGATCAATAATGCTGGTGTTCTGGGCGTGCTGGCTCCCACCGACTGGCTGACAGTGGAGGACTACAGAGAACCTGTAGAAGTGAACCTGTTTGGACTCATCAATGTGACGTTAAATATGCTTCCCTTGCTCAAAAAAGCTCGAGGGAGGATTATCAATGTCTCCAGCATTGGGGGTCGTCTTGCATTTGGTGGAGGAGGCTACACTCCATCCAAATACGCAGTAGAAGGCTTCAATGACAGCTTAAGGTAAGGCAAGCATTGACATATTAGGAAATAATAGCTGCTAACATTTATTGAATGTGTATTATGTACCAGACACTCTATTTAGTTCTTTAAATTATTCCCAATGTATAGATGATCACATCATTTTGCTGTGTGATATCAGAGAACCCCAGAGCTCAAAACAGATGACCAATTTAGCAAATAAATGCCCCAACTCAGTGCTCCCAAGCATGGATTTCTTTGGGTTTATAATGTTTGAGGTTTGCTGGGCTTCTTGAATCTGTCAGTTTACACCTTTTGCCATATTTGGGGAGTTTTCAGCCACTACTTTTTTCAAACTTTTTTTTTATTTTTTGCAATCTACTCTCTCTTCTCCTTCTGAGACTCTATAACACAAATGTTATAACTTCTGGGTTTGTCCCACAGAACCCTAAGGTTCTTTTCACTTTTTCAATTATTTTTCTCTTTGCTGTTCAGATTAATTTCTAATGATCTATCTTCAAATCCACTGACTTTCCTTCACTTCTATCCTGCTATTGAATCCAAACAATATATATTTTATTTTGGTTACTGTATTTTTCTAGTGGTTAGGTGATACTTCAAAATACTGTCTTCTTCCCTACCTCACCTACTAACATCTGCATTTTAGAGTCCTTTAATAACTGCTCCAGGCATTCTGTCCAGGTTTTGAAGCTACATTCAGTGGGAGAGACAGGGGAAAGGAGGATGTTTATCTTACTTGGGAAAAAAAGCTATCACTCTCCGTTCAAAGCCCTTAAGTTGCAACAGGCAGTATCAATCAAGTTTCTGTAGAAAATGGAGGCATATTAAAATTGGGTAAATGGAGCAGAGTTTACTTAAAGGACTATTTGCAAAGATGGGAGTCATGTAGGGAAATCCCGAAGGATAGTGTAATATCTAAGGACTAATGACAGCAGGGGTATCTCAATCCACAGGACTGAAGGGAGAAGACAAGGCAGTTTCCAGAACCTGGATACATAGAGGTTGTCACCTTCAGTTGAGGGATAAAGTTAACCAGTGTCAGCATCAAAGGAGGAATAACTAGCCCAACCTCTCCCTAGTACTCCCTCTGATCTCCCTCCGGTTCTCTCAGTTGACTGTACCCAACAGAAGCCAAAATATAGTTAACACAGGCAGTCCTCCCAGGATGGAGTTCAGGCGGAAGGGTGGCGGAGATTTAGAGGAGCAAATGGAAGCAAGAGAAAAGATGAAGTTACATATAGTCTTTTCTTCAATTCATCCATTTATTTTTATTTATATATTTATTTATTTTGTTAATCCTCGCCTGAGGATATTTTTCCATTGATTTCTAGAGAGAGTGGAAGGGAGGGAAGGCAGGGGAGGGGAAGAGAGAGAAAGAGAGGGGAACACTCACGTGAGAAAGGCACATTGATTGGTTGCCTCCTTGCACACACCCTGACCCTGGGCATGAAGCCTGCAACCCAGGTAAGTGCCCTTGACTGGGGATCAAACCAGTGACTCTTTGGTCCTCGGGCTGATGCTTTAACCACTATGCCACACCAGTCAGGGCTATCCATTTATTTATTCAACTGGTATTGTTGATGGTACATGTTAGAGTTATGATCTACACCATGGACCTAGGTTTAGCTTACTAATAAAAGGTTAGATTATTCTACTGAGAATAGAGATAGAGCTACTCCATTTTGCCATTAGATCAGGTTGCCAGGTTTGATTCTTCCAGGAAATAAATGCAATAATGTCAGAACAATGCTTCTTCAATGTTAATGTGCATATGAATCACCTTGATTTTTTCAAAATGCAGATTCTGATTCAGTGGGTCTGGGGTGGGTCCTGAGTTTCTACATTTATAACAAGCACCCAAATGCTGCCCATGGTTCTGGGATCACACTTTGAATAGCAAGGTCATGGAGAACCTCCATTTGTCTCCTTGGTTGCCCTTTGGTTCCTCTCTTTCAGTAGCAGTGTCATAATAAAATTTTAGTATACTTAGAGATTTATTTACTTTTAGAAATATATTTCAGCCCAGCCTGGCGTGGCTCAGCGGTTGAGCATCAACCTAGGATCCAGGCAATCAGGGTTCGATTCCCGGTCAGGGCACATACCCGTGTTGCAGGCTACAGCCGATCGATGACTCTCATCATTGATGTTTCTATCTGTCTCTCTCCCTCTCCCTTCCTCTCTCTGAAATCAATAAAGATATATTTAAAAAAAAAAAAAAAAAGAAATATATTTCAGCTGAAGGGTTTGTGGGATTGCAATGCAGCTATGCTATGCCTGGAATTAACCGATAGAGGCATATTTCTAAGTCATGGAACTAGTATTGGAAACAGTATTGTGCATGCAGGTCGCAGTCCAGTGGCAGCTCCAGGAGGGTTTCAGGGCAGCAGTCCTGTTGGGAAAGTGTTGGGGCTCTTTAAGGCTGTATTTGCCCAGCAAGCACACTGGTTTCCTACTGGTTTTACTCACCTGGTAAGGTTAGTTGGGTGACTTAAAGCCATTTGTCCCTAGAGTATGTTATTTTCATGAGTAGGTAGGGAGAAATATCTTCCCAAATACCCCCTTAGCACTGTCACTTTCCAAACCCAAAGGGGATCGGAAGATAGGTGAAGATACAATTAAGTTGAAAAATAACCTTTTTTATTTCAATGCAAGCAACATACCCTTCAAAATATTTCAAAATCAAGCTTATATGCATTTTTGTAAAATACAGTTCAAACTAAACAATAGGTGTGTTGCTAGAAAGCAGAACCTAAGATAAATTAAAATCACATTTTTAAGGTTACTGGTAAAGTTCTTCTAAAGTCTTATGGCGCCCTGGCTAGTTTTGCTCAGTGGTTAGAGCGCTAGCGGACTGAAGGGTTGCAGGTTTGATTCCCAGTCAAGGGCGCATACCTTGGTTGCAGGCTCGATCCCTGGCCCTGGTCAGGGAGCATGTGGGAGGCAACCATACGATGTGTCTATCTCACATCAATGTTTCTCTCTCCCTCTCTCTGTCTCTCCCCCTCCTCTCTCCCCTCCACAATCTCTAAAAAAATCAATGGAAAAAATATTCTCAGGTGAGAAAAGAAAAGTCTTATGTCAGAGTCTTCTGTAAAATGAATAATTACTTCCTTATGTATTCCTGGCAGAAATATAAATTAAATATAGGAAATAATTACTCGTATAATGGTTTGCTATACATTAGGTTGTTTTAAAGAAAGAGAAACCATGGTTTCTCCAAAACCCTGTTGCCCAGTAAATGCGCAGACTTTTGGTTTTCTGCAATGGCATGACGGAAGAGCTTGCCAAGCAGCATAGGGAACAGGTTAGCCAAGTGAGGGACTGTCACATTATGTCCCTCAGCGTGTCCTCATTCATGCTGCAACCTCCTCACCTTCCTAGAATGGAGGTAAACTTGGCCAGCCAGGCCAGTCATCAGTCAGTTTCACCATAAGGTACCCTAAGTACTGAAAAGAAACCTGTCCTTAGCCCAAATGCCCGTCAATTCAATGACAGGATGGCTTAGGGGGAACACTGGGGGGGGGGCTACCCAGGTCCCTTTCCTGTTCTGTCACTAACTCAGCCCTCACTTCAACACCCTGACCTTCAGATCCGCAAACTGAGAGGGTAGAACGAGACGCTCTTGATTCTGTGATTTCACAGAAAGAGTCACCAAAAAATAGTCACAAACGTTCTCCAAATAAACCTCCAATGGTTTGGTGGTGGTGTTTTTTTTCCACAGACGAGACATGAAAGTTTTCGGTGTGCACGTCTCTTGCATCGAACCAGGATTGTTCCATACAGGACTATCAGATCCAGTAAAGTCTGCTGAGAAAAAACTTGCCATTTGGAAGCATCTGTCTCCAGATATCAAACAACAATACGGAGAAGGTTACATTGAAAAAGGTGAGTTTTGGGGTGGACCCAGGGTCTAGGCGGCATGAAGGACACTCAGACATAAATGAAACACAACGTTCTCATAGTAATAAGGATCTTAACTGTGGATCAGGCATTCCTGCTAATCCCAGTCTCATCTTTTGCTTCTCTGAGCATTTATTAAGTGCCAAGTTCTATACTGAGCACCTTATACATTATGCATATCATTTGCTCCTCAAAAAATCTATAGGAGTAGCGAGCAGAGGCTTGGGAAAGTGAAATGGCCTACCCAAGATAACACAGCTCGTCCTGGGCATGCCACACTGGAGCCCATGGTCTTCACCTCTACACAGAGCTCCTCTTTACGGTAAACACCAACCAGTCACTCAGCGCTGTTCCAGGATTTATGGAGGTTCCAAAATATAAAGACTCAGACTCTGACCCTTAACTAGCTTAAAATCTAGCTGACAACAGAAAGTAACCAAGTGAGACTGTAAAACGGTGAACTGTACAGCATGAAGAAAATTAATCCTTTACTTCTCAGACACAGCCCAACAGCCCAGGGGGGGGCGCTAGATGGTGTGGTCTCTAATTGCCCAAGGAATTCAGGCCTGGAAAAAACAATGCTAGTTAAGAAGACTTTATGGGATAGGTCAGGTCTGAATAAAGACTAAAGGACAGGAAGGAACTATTTGGGTAAAAACTTTCTGGAGCAGGAATGGATGGGGAGTGGAGAGAGAAGTAACTAAGTCTAGAGATTGAGTCAGGGATGGAGGAATAATAATAAAGGTTAGATGTGATGACTAACACATAGTGAACATTTACTGTGTACCTGTCACCCTTATAAGAGCTTTACATGAACTTTCATTTAAAATATTTAAACAAAAAGTAAATAAATAAAATGGCCAAGTAAATCCTATGAAGCAGATACCACCTTCATTTTATAGAAACAGAGGCATAGAGAAGTAACTTGCCAGCTGGTAAATGGAAGCGCTAGATTTGAACCCAGGTAGCCTGACTTTGCCATTTATTCTTGGGCGCCACACTATAATATCAACAGGCATTAAGGAGCTGGTCAAATTTCCTGTATCAGGGCTCCACCTCCACCTCAAACTTCCTGACCCTGCCCCACCAAACTTTGTGTCACGCTATCCCTCCAAACTGTGATCCTGCCTCCTCATTAGTGAGCTTGGTATGACAGCCAACTGTGGTAAGGTTCAAAGCCAGTAGATGACAAGGTAGAGCCATGACCAAGTCAGATCCACCTAGGGAGGTTTCTAGAATGACTGACACCCCCACCCACCCCACCCACTACACACACACACACAGAGACAGAGATGTAAACATATCTATCAACTAGAACTTCTGGTCTGACAAATGCCCCAGTGCTGACATGTCACTATAGATTTAAATGCTGTTTCTCACTCACTTACCAACTCTGAAGGTTCTAAGTAGACTCAGAAACAAAACGCTCGTTTAATATTGACATTTGATATTGACATTGATACTTCATAAATGCCTATGAGTATATCATCAACTTCCATCTCAAAATTATTTTTGCATTGGCCCCTGGCTCAAATGCCCTGCCTCAGAAGTACCAACTGGCTTTGAGCCCAGTTTTGTACTGGTTGTTCTTTTTAGAGTTTTCCAAGTCAGAATTTGGAGGTCAGCCAGCCTCACCGTATTTAAGTAGACCACAGATTTAAGCTCACCTTTCTTCGTTTCCCAGGCTGGAGTAATAGGAGTTTAAAATAGCCACTAAGACTTATTAGGTAACCTCATTTAGGCTCTTTGAACAAGTTGTGGTTACTGGGGCCTGAAGTTGAAAGGAAGATCCAAAATAATAGATTTCCCTTGAGAAGACACAACTCAGGTATGTCTTAAGAGCCCTGGAGGGATGCTCCAAGTCATTACCAACGCGTTGATGAAACACCCGCTTATTCAAAAGTATCATAGCACATTACTCAAATGGTTTATTTGCCTGAGAAGCAGGATATCTTCAGCTTCCTGAGTCAGGGCTTTTGGGTGGTGATTCTCTCTTCACTCACCCGAGTACAGAAGCACATGATAGATGAGTGCACGGACACACGTGCACAAGCCCACGTGCATGCCCACATTTCCTATAAACATAATACTCCCTCAAAACCAATTCAAAATCAAACCCATGACTTCCTGGGCTCAGGAGCCTCGTAGACGATGAAGCATCTTTCTCTCACTGTTTTAAAGTAGTGCTTCTCAAAGTTTGGTCCAGTGCCATCAGCATCACCTGGCAACTTGATAGAAATGCAAATTCTTGGGCCCCACTTTACACCCCCTAAAGGTGGGACCCACCAATCTGGGCTTTAACAAGCCCTCTAGGAAATTCTGCTACCCACTCAAGTTTGAGAGCCAGTGGTCTAGAGAAAACATTGCTCATCCTTTTCTGAGAAATAGGTAGAAACCCACCACAATAGGCCTCAATTATAATAAGAAATTCAAAATTCCCACAGACGCATCTGCCCCTTTGTGCCCCAACCCCCACACACTCCTTTTCCCCTTTCACCAAAGAGTAAATCCACCTTTTTCTCTTTTTACAGCTATGGAAAAACTGAAAAGCACTACATCCTTTGTGAACATGGACCTCTCCCTGGTGGTGGAGTGCATGGACCACGCCCTCACAAGTCTCTTCCCTAAGACCCGTTATGCTGCTGGAAAAGATGCCAAGACTTTCTGGATACCTCTGTCTCACATGCCAGCAGTTTTGCAAGACTTTTTATTGTTGAAACAGAATGTGGAACTGGCTAATCCCAAGGCAGTGTGACTCAGCTGACCACAAATATATGCCCCGGGCTATGAGTATGGCTCATGTCAAGGACATACCTCCTTTTCAATGTCATTCCTTACCTAATCCAACCTGGACTCTTGTAGGCCATGCTTCTTTTGATAAATGAAGGAATCCCACCATCCCTGGCGATGTCCCAGGGTCCCTCTCAGGCCTTCCTTGAAAAGAAGGGCAGGAATGGTACCTGCTCAGTATTTAAGCTTGGCCTCCTTTGGTCTGATGTAAGGGAAATTGAAAGGTTCTCCTGTCCAAAATGATCTTCACCACAGCTTACCCCATGCCCCCCATTCCAGAGTGTTAAATATTTGTCCCTTATCAAAGTGTTCAGAGATAAGTAGAATACTTTTCATAAGTGATTAGATGTGTTCTGTTATCTTGCTGAGAATAAGACTCTGAAGGACTGGAACTCAGTTCTGTAAGCTTTGGTGGGGCGGGAAAATGAAGGGTGATGAAGAATTATGTGACTGGTATAAGCTAAGGGGCACCAGAAAAACAGGGAGGACTGCAAGTAGGAGGGGAGAAAAAGGAAGAGAGGACTGAAAAGAAGACATGGGTATAAAAATGGAGGCGGGGAGACTCCAAAACCAGCCTGCATATCCTAGAGGGGGCTGGGGAGGGTGAGCAGCCCATTCAAGGCCACTGTGAGCACTGATGCACACACAGCTGTGTGCTAGAGACGTGGTAACAACAGTGTAACCAATCATTCCCAAGCAACAAATACGTAGAGAATGTTTTTGTTTATTCTCATGATTGTAAATATAACAAGACTGAAAATAACTGATATAGCTTACACCTGAAATGGTTGGAAACCTGTATTTGAAGTGTCTCTGAAGCCCTACGAAAATATAGAAGTACATAAAAGACCCTCGTTAGCCTCTAGTTATGGTGTGAGCAGCTCTGCTCCTTGCTCATGTACATGGCTCTTGGATTAGATAGATCCTAGACCCATACACCATCCAAAAGAATGGTTCTCTAAACGGATGCTTCCCAAATTCCAGCACCGGTATCACTCACAAAGTTTTGTTGAACATTTACATGGAAATGCGTGAAATATCAGAATCCAACATTTGATGCAAAGTCATACAGGGTGAAAGAGCCGGAGAAATTATCTAGTGCGCATGCACACACGCACACAACACACTTATTGGAAGAAAATAGTTAAACCTGCAGCTTAAAACCATGTTCATTTAAATATATCAGTAATTCTATCTATTTTCATTCACCTTTCTGGAAAATCTGCTCATGAGGTAATTTCCTCCTCTCAAGTGTACAACATTTTGATGAATTTGAAAAATCTAATTACCAATGATATCAGTCCACCTGGACACATATGTCATGATTTTGAGGAAAGATACATTCATCCTTTTTGCATGAAAATCACAGCAAGAATCAGAAGAATTCTCAGGCAAAGTTAGCTAAACTATTGTCACCACCTACCTGTGACGTCATCCCCAGCTTGGCCCTAGTCCTAAAGGCAGTTCATCTGTTTATCTCTTATTTCTTCTGGTTACAATTAACCACCAATGAGTTAGGGGACCATCGCTCAACTTGTCGTTGGAGCTGAAGTTCATCAATGTTGTTTGCTGGTTCATCAGTGTTGTTCCCTCCTTCTCACCTTGAAGTCCCAGATCTTGGCTTCATTTTACTGCTTTAAAAATGTCTGGCCTGCTGCTCTCTGACCTTCCAGGCCCCCAGGGCTGCCAAGACTTTTAGCATCTGTGGGAATCTCCTTTGCTGAACTTCAACCATTCCAGTCCTCTTTGGGGGCCTACCTAATGGTGTTATTTCCTTTGTTTTGCCTAGACCTGTGTTCTTAGCTTATTTCTCCTAGTAGCTACAATCCGTACCTCCCTGTTTCATCTAACCACAAAAAGAGCTCTGCTTAAATGAAAGCTTCCAAATATGGAAGCACCTCAAAATAAAACCAAATATATTCACCCAACAAATTTCAAAGCTCCTAAAACTAAATGAAAAGGTGAGGTGTTTGGAGTATAAAGGCATAAGTCTCAACAAAAGCACAAGACCAGGGAGAGAGGTGGGAGGAACATCAGAAGGTGACTACACCAGGAGTCTGAGGTGTGAATTCCTGGACTTCTCTCCATCTTGGGATTGCTTGTGTTCATCCCTGTGCCCTTGGGAAACTTATTTTTATCTATAATATTTTCGGGGACACATGTCCTGGCCTGCAGTATGGAACAAAGTGGATATGGGTCCTTCCTTCACAGAGCTCAGTATAATCCAAAGGGTAAAGCCACTTCTCAGGATGCCCTAGAGGAGCTTCTCCAGGAATCCATGGCCAAGATGAACTGAGATGCTGTCTTCTACCACCTCTAGCTTGGGAGATCCTTCTTCATTTATTTTGGAAGGACCAGGAGAATCTCCTGGACTTTCCCTTTGATCTGATCTAAAAATACACCTGTGTCCTCAGTAGCTGTACCTGGGCATCTGCAATGTATTCAGATCTGGAGTTTCTATCTCCCTCCCCCTGCATACTCTTTCCACTAACTACTGTTAAATTTATCTCCTAAAGAGATCCCAGGTCCTCTACTTCCCTTTCCCTTCAGTGCAACCATCTGTTCATCAAATGGATAACATAAGCTACACCGTCGCGGCATGCCTCGTTAGCCTCATTGAGGCTACTATCTTCTTCATGTTCTCGCCTCGGGGTCTTTGCTCCTGCTGATCCCTAGAATGATCCCCTTTTACCTGCCTGTCTAGTTTCTTCATCCTACAGCTCTCACCCTTTTCCACAGGGAAGCCCACACAATTCCAATTCTGACCTCTACCTTTTCATCCCAATTAGGTTCCAATTTATACATCCTCGCCGTGTCCTATAATTTATATCAGAACACTTACCAAGTCTCTAACGATACATTTGTGTGGTTAGTTCATTAATACTGGCCTCCCCTATCAGATTTTAAATTCCATGAAATCAGGAACCATGATGCTTTGCTTATCTTTGTCTCCCCTTGCCTAGCACATTGCTGGCACATAGGCCAGTGTTGAATAAATATTTGTTGAATGAATTCGGAAATCAGCATGTAACAGCCTTTCTGACGAAGGGGCAATCTATCACTTAAGATCAAGCTGGCCAACCTCATTAGTTGTGCCAGTTCATTTAACATCCTGTAGCTTCCTTAAGCCTTTGAGTACTTCTACAGGGGCTCCTACCCCTGGCTCCCCTATCAGCCTCCCCTCAGAGAGTCAGCGTGGCCATACTGATTTCTCATGACCTGCAAGTCCAGAAACGTTGTGAAGGGGCCTCCCTCCGCAGTGAGCTATCAGGTGCCCAGTGGTCACAGAACATCAGGGGTCATTTTATCCATTTCTGTGCCCGTGGACAGGACATGTCCAAGCCATCCAGGCTGAAGAAAATCTCTTCAGTTTGAAATCTTCCCAGAAGATCCATACTTTTATGGGCAACCCAGCCCAGAATGAGAAAAACTTCCAGGAGCTTCTAAGAAAAATGATCATTTTGGCTCTTCTCCATACTATTAATCCCAATAATTCTCAAGAACATGAGAGATTACAGTCCCATCAGTGGAGGAAATAGCTAAATATTCTCAAAATGAAAAGCTTTTTAGTATCTAGAAAGCATTTATGACAACTTAAACTCAGCCACAGTTTATGAGATTGAGGGAGGGAGGGGGAAAGGAAGGAAAAAAGAGAATGAAGGAAGGGAAGAAAAAAAGAAAAGAAATTAGACAGTGGGTTTTAAAACCTAAAATGCTTTCTCAAAGTTCATTCTGGGACTGAGGGGACATCCTAAATGAAAAACTCTAGGATTCTGTGTGTTGAAAGCATAAGACAAGATTGCCGGCCAGCGATCCCCAGTCAGCTTCTGCGTGCTCTTGGACCCTTGCTGTGTTGACAAGGGTGTGCAGGAGCTCCTAATTTTCCTACTCACTTTCCACCCCCTGCTGCTAACACCCTTTGAACAAACAGGGTTTTTCTTCATGAGCAAAAATGCAAACAGGTATCTCCATACTTTACAAACTCCAAGGCACATTCTGAACGAGATAAATGAGAGTGGTCAGGAAACTCTCTAAGCACTTAAATCTTCCTTGGGGTCCCCTGCTCCCACAGCCACTTCACCTCCAAAGCGGAACGGAATCTGACCTGAGTTTTGTCCTTGAGAGGAGCACTGGCTATCATGGATTTAAATGAAGACACAGAGGCAGGTTTGTAAACCCACCAGAGGAATACATGAGATGATAGAATCTAGTCTAAAATGCTTCTGTGAGTTCTAACCATGGGTTAACAAGATAAAATGATATAGGGGAAGACCCAGGGCTTTGCTGTGGTTCCCAAAAACGCAAGCATGGGATTCAGAGCCACATTGTGGAAATGATTGAGGCATTTTCTGTAACAGTCACTCAAAGTGAGTCAACAGTGTGATGCAAACGTATGATGTAACTGCCTACCTCGGATCCTGTTCCTGCGAGGAGAAAAAAGAAAGTAAATGATGCTTTGGTCTTGGTTTAAATTTTAAACTAACAACATGTAGAGCAAGGTTGATGATGGTTATGTGTACTTGCAACTGCTCAGAGGACTGGTAAAATTTTGCCATGACTTCTGGGAAGCTCACTCTCATGTAGCCACAGACATTCTGGAGAGGGTGGCCAGGAGATCAAGGTTATCTGAAGACCAGGTTAGCTGCAATAGAGCTGAAGACACTATAGTCATTTTCTTGAAGGAAGAGCCTGATGGGAGACAGGGCAGCCCACTGGAAGGGTCTCCCTGTGAAACAGGAATTCAACTCATTCCAGGTGGCATAGAATGGTAGAGCAAAGGTCCTGGGTGGCAGTTACATAGAGTTCAAGTTTAGCACCATTTAATAGGATTCTTTTGCCAGTAAGAGCCTGACTCAATGACAAGCACAGCTGGTGGGTGAGCACAGGAAGGACAGCCCTTGGGGTGAAGATGCTGGGAAGGGACTCAAGCAATATGAGGTCGGGGTGGCTGATTTGAGTGACATT